CACCTGGTCCATGGGCTGGGGTCCCGGACCAAATTAAAAGGAGAAAGTGAACTGAGCACCAGCATCCATCTCTCTCTGCTTCCTGAATGCAGATGCAGTGTGAGCAGCCGCCACACATCCCTGTTGCCGTGTCCTCCACCATGATGGACTGACTGTACCCTCTAACCATGAGTCAAAAATCAAACTTCCTCCCACAAGTTGCTTTTATGGAGTACTTTGTCATAGCAATGAAGAAAGTAAATAATTGCACTATTGAGTTTTATGTCAACTTCACACAGCCTAAAGCCATTTTGGAAGAAAGGACCTCAGTTGAGAGAATGCCCCCACTGGATTAGCATTTAGGTAAGACTATGGTGCATCTTCTTCTGGTTTTTGTTGCTGTTGTTGTTTTGTTTTTTGAGACAGGGTTTCTCTGTGGCTTTGGAGCCTGTCCTGGAACTCACTATGTAGACCAGACTGGCCTTGAACTCACAGAGATCGGCCTACCTCTGCCTACCCACTGCTGGGATTAAAGGCGTGTTCCACTCTGCCCATCTTAGTACATCTTTATTGATGATTGATTGGTGTAGGAGGCTCAAACTTACTGTGAGTAGTGCCAGCTCTGAGCTGTTCGTTTGTCCTGGGTGCTGTAAGAAAGCAGGCTGAACAAGCCATGGTGAGACAGCCAGTAAGCATCACTCAGCCATGGTCTCTACATCAGTTCCTGCCTCCAGGTTCCTGCCTCAAGGTCCTGCATTGACTAACATGGATAATGCATTACAAGTAGTAAGATGAAACAAGTCCTTTCTTCCCTAAGTTGACTTTTGTCATGGTGTTTTCTCACAGCAAAAGAAACCCTAACTAAGATACTAACACACCCTTCAAGGATACACAGATCCTCCAAAGGAATGGTCAGAATCACAAGAATGTGGCATGAAGGGAACTCTGGGGGGAAGGAGAGTCTTGCTACAGACCCACAGCTAGCTATGCAGTAACTATCCTGGAAGGCTGCAGATGTGCCCAAAGCATCCCCAAAAGCAGGTTGCATAAAAAAGAGATTAGAAGATGGCTCAGCCAATAAAGGTGCCTGCTGCCAAGCTTGACAACCTGAGTTCAATCCCTAGGACATGCCTAATGGAAGGAGAGACCTGATTCTTGAAAATTGTCCTCTGACGTCCACGTGTGTTATGGCATGCGCGCGCGCACACACACACACACACACACACATTTTTAAAGGGAGATTTGAAGAAGGTATTCCCATCAGAGATAAGACACCCAATCTCTTGAAATAGATGAGCAAAAGCCATAACCCTCTGGGACCTCCCTATAGTAACATGAGGATCCTGGGTACTATCATGATCCAGAAGACATCGGCTCAACCCTAATTCCTTATCCAGAAGAGTCTGACATTCCTCACTCCCTGGGCAGGTTATCCCTCCAGACTCCCTGGCTTGCCTAGTCCTCTACTTCTTGACAATGAGGAGAAATAGGCTGGGAGGTAGCCTAAGACTCAATGACAGAAACCGGGAGGCAATGCCGTGAGGGGGGGAGATTATTTATCTCCCGGCTAACAGCAGAGGACCAGCAGGGAAGGAGGGATGGCCCCACCGCAATTCTGAGACTGGAGGGAATGTCTCTGGCCTGGAGCATTTCCCAGTGTCAGCTGGAAGGGGCAGCCAGCCAGCCGCGGTGGCTCAGCGCTTGGGATTCTGTTATCTCAGCTCTTGAGAAATGGAGGCAAGAGCATTGTGAGTTTGAGAGCATCCTGGGCTACCTAGTGAGCAAGCAGGTAGGTAGGTTTCATCTCAAGCAACGGTGAAATCAGGTGGAGACAGACAGAGAGCTCAGCGGGTAAAGCACTCAGAAGGGTTAGTATCAGAACCTGATAATGCTGGTCATGGGCCGGTAAGATGGCTCAATGAATGAAGGGCTTGCCACACAAGCCTGGAGACCTGAGTTCAATTCCTGGAGCCCATGTAAGTGTGGAAGGAAACAGCTAGCTCCATAAAGTTTCTCGTCTGACCTGCACACACACACACACACCACCAACACCAAGAAAAACAGGGAAAATACAGCAGACCCTGCAGACAGCCTCTTCCATTGTAGCTCAGGTCCAACAGAGGTGGGAGACATCGCCCAGACATGGGGCCTCTTTGCTTTCACTCAGCAGTCAGTGTGAGGAAGAGGAAGAGAAAGGGGAGGAGAGGGGCAAGAAGGAGGAGGAAGAATGGGAATGGGATGGGGGAGAAGAGGAGGGACAGGAAGGAAAGACCACATCTTAAAGTATTTAAGTCAGAACTCCATTTAGCCTGGCAGGCGTCTGCCCCCTGAGCAGCAGGCAACCCCACCAGAGCAGGGGGCCAGCCAGCAGGGGATCGTCTGGCAGAGGAAGAATGAGGAGGCAGATGATGCCCTAGAGAGTTCCTACAAAGCCCTCCACTCTGCACATCTGGAAAAGGTTGGCTGGAATGCCATCAAAGACCTGAGAGGGGCTAAGGAGTCTGCCAAGGGCAGAGAAGGCCTGGTGCAGCAAAGTTACCCACCCCTCAGTCCCTATGAGACTCCTTCCTCCAGGCCTGCCAGGCCTCCCGAACCCAGCCCACCACTGCCAGTGGTAGTAGACTGAGGGACTGGCCCCGGGGCACCCAATGGTGGCCTCCATACCTAACCCTACACTCACTGCGAAGGACAGACATGAGCCTATTCTCCACTGCAGAGCAAGAAAAGAGAGTAGGGTTTGTCTCCGTGTCCCAACTGGGAAACTGAGGCACTGAGCAAAGGAAGCCCAGATGGTCCTTCCTGCCTCCAGGTCCTTTGTTAGTGCTGTGGCAAAACACCTGACCTGGGCTCACAGTTCACCGCAGTCGCGAGATGCGGTGAAAGCTGGTGTTCATCTCACTTATTTGTCTCAAACTTTTACTTAACCTTATTGATTCATCTCTCTCTTTCTTCTCTCCTTCTTTCTCTCTTTGTCTGTCTCTGTCTGTCTGCCTCTCTCTCTCTCTCTCTCTCTCTGGAGCCGGCTATAGATTATCTAGCCAGTGCACCTCAGGAATGCACCCGTCCACCCTTTCCCAGAGCTGGGGTTACAAGTGGACACCACCACACCCTGTTTTCAGCCTGGCTTGAACTCAGGTCCTTTAGCTTTTGAGGCCAGTTATGCCCTACTCTAGCTCCATTCACAGCAACATCCCAAATTCTTACCTCCTCACCTCCAAGATTCTCCCAGCTCAATGCCATCCTCATACTTACCACTGCCCCCAAAATGTACCCACCACTGTCCCCAGTAACTCACAGTGCTGTATCCTCTGGTGGTATCCCCCTGGATGGCCAGAGAGCCACCTTCCTCTGTCTCCCCAGCGCTGGAGTTACAAACATGTACCACTGTGCCTAGCTTTTTCACATGGGTTCCAGGGATGGGGCTCAGTCTCTTGGTTTGTACAGCAAGCTCTTTACCATCTGAGCCATCTCAAGCACAGATAAATTATCTTGATGTAGCCCTGGCTGGCCTGAAGTCTCATCTTCTTGCCTTGGCCTCTTGAGTGATGGGACTATATAAACACCCAAACAACCCCCCCTCTCTCTCTTCTCTCTCTCTCTCTCTCTCTCTCTCTCTCTCTCTCTCTCTGGAGACAGGGTCTTATGTAGCCAAGGCTGGCCTTGCTATGTAGCAGAGGATAGATAACCTTGAACTTCTGATGCCCCCGCCTCCACTTCTGAATACTGGGATTCTAAGCGTGCTGGCCACCATGCGAACTTTATGCATGCGAGGTGAGCGCTCTGCTGCCTGAGCCACATGCACAGCCCCTTACTGTCTAGGGCCAAACCAGGCTCTAGAGATTGAAGTGATGCTACTGCCATGGAGAAAGCAGATACCAAGAGCCGTTTGCAGCTGATCTCAAGCTTAGTGAAGGGCGTTTTGTATGTATCCTGTTTTCCCCACCACGGTTCTATGCCAACACCAATCAAGGCATCCAGGAATGCTTCAAAGGATGGGAGAACCAAAATTGGGCCCCACACAGCTTCAGAAAAATGGGGAGGAGAAACAGACAAGAAATACGGAAACCTGAACGCTGCTATGTAAATGCTGCGGTTGAAACGTGGCCAGACACACTGAGCAATTGGGATTCTAAGGGAAGGAATAGGCCCGAATCAGCTCGGGGTGGGGTGAGGGGGTCTCACTAGCATTTGCTTCCCTAACCTCAGAACGAGGAATGCAGGAACACAGCATGCCCAGGCCTGGACCGCACCACGAGCTGCCTGGGGGCTGACTGAGTGCCTAGAGTTGGCCTCTAAGCTCTCCCCACACATCAAAAGCCTCCGCCTCAGTGTTGATTAGAAGCTGACAGGATTCCCATCATGGAACCTCATCTCCTCCAGCAATATCTTGAGGCAGTATTCTCTTCCCTCCATTTTAAAGTAGGGGAACTGAGGCTTGCAAAATGAATCCTAGACAATGAGACATCCAGGGGAATCTCTAAAAGGAGGATGGCTGGGAGTGGGTGTACTTGAGGGGATGGGGCCAGGGTGGGTGCGGCTTTAAGGGGCGTGGTTGTTGGAGGGCGTGGCTGTGGCTATGAGTGCAGAACCACAGGAGCGCATGGCTGTGGGAGGCAATGGCTGTGGGAAGGATTGGCTGTGAGAGCGTGGTTGTTGGAGGGTGTGGCTATGAGAGGACTGGCTATGGAAGCCTCAGGAGGAAGGTTTTAAGGGGCATCTCTAAAAACTGGGTTTCCAAGCTTTTAGATAAATTTAGTTTATTTACTGTCTTCATTAACCCCACCTGTCACCACTTCTGACCCCTCCCCCAAGCATCTACAACAGTCCTGGACGATGACACTGTGTCAGGTAGGAGCATGTCCCTCTCATGGTGGCATGTATACTTCGCTCCCTGTACCCAGAACCTGGGCTCCATTCTCCTTTCCAAGCATCAGTCCAGCCAACCCCAGAACTGTACTTGGGTCATACCACGCAAGGGAACAGAAAGGCAAGGCAGAGCAGGGCACCCTGGGCGCCTTTACCTCACAAGGTTGGCACAGGGCCCAGGCCACCGGCAGCTCTGGTAGACTCGCTGGACCACTGTCTCGGAGCCGTTCTGCACCTGGCAGGACACTGTTCTTGTCACCGTGTGATGGCACCAGTGCCTGTGGGAACATCAACAGTCACATTAGCCTTGGCCATTCCCAGAGCGCCCGACAGCAGTTTAGATCATGCCGTGGGGAAGGGAGGACTGTCAAAATAAAATACCCAACAAAAGCAACGTAAGGGAGAAAGGGCTGATTTGCGCTCAGAGTCCCAGGGTGCATTGTGGCCAGTCAAGCATGGCAACAAGAATGTGAGGCGGCTGGTCACATGACAACCCCAGGCAGGAAGCAAAGAGCTCAGCTCGCTTTCCCCTTATTCAGCCCAGAACCCCAGCCTGGGGAACGACACTGCCCATTCGGAGTGGCTCTTAAATTAACCCAATCCAGAAACATACTCAGAGCTAGGGCTCCTGCGTGATTCTGGATTCTGTCAACTTGGCAATCAATATTAACTGTCATCATCAGATCTGCCTGTCCAGAAAAAGGAAATCCAATACCAATGAGAATGGAAGAGAGGAGATGTTACTAGTGTATAGAAAGCGCGGCTTAGAGTAAGCATTGGAGAAACCAAGATTGTCCATCACACCGACCTGTTGACCTCAAAGAAAAATGAATGACGCCTGGTCACCTGGAATGCTGTGGAAGTGGTCAAGCAACCTGAAGATCCTTTGCTAGTCTATTAGAGCGAGCCTCCACTCAATCCCCCCACCCCACCCCACCGAGCCACCCTGTATTCGGAGCATTGTTCAGGCTCTAATCCTCAGCTTCGTCCCCCAGAGAATAGAACCCATGTTTATGAAAGAGGTCCCATGCACTATGCATCCTCCACCAATAGAATCCATCGTAACACTTGCCACAAATCCTTCTTCTCTAGGCCCTATAGCTGAGCTCATTTACCAGCCAATAGAACTCATTCTTATTGTAATGGTCACAGGCACTTTGCTACTTTGCTAGAGAGTTTCTATGTAGCTGTGCCTAAAGCTTTTTGACTCTGGAAGTTTTGATCCAGTGCCTGCAAAGATGGTACTGACTCGAGTTTCATTCTTTGTCTCCCTGGCAGCCGTGAGGCTTATGGAGTCCCCAACATCAGCGGACCAAAGCCAAGACAGCTCCTGAAAGGCTTCCATCCCTGGTCCAGTTTGTATTCTTATCTTATACTCTAACACCACAAGGTGGGGCAGGCAGGTGAGACTTTACAGAAGCACAGGTGGCTTCTGTAGGTTGTGAAGGGCAACGATCCATTGTATTAGCTATTTCTCCCAGTCATTCTGTTCCAGGTAGCAAGTGAAGCTGTGTTTGGCAACTAGGCAGTACAAGCAGTGCTTAAAGTAAGCCACTAAATAAGTAAATCAATATCTAATCATTGGTCTTTTCTACTTTATTCTACTTCATTGTCTTTTCTTCAAATCCTTTGTTTATTCCCGTCCCCACTCTCCACAGCAAGACAGTCTTACTGTGTAGCCCTAGCTGGCCTGGGACTTGCTATGTCGAGCACGCTGGCCCCCAATTCACATATCTCCACTGTCACCACTTCCCCGAGCTGAAATGAAGGGCGTGTGCACTAGCCCAGATGAATGCCAGTTTACATTGTATCTGTCCTGTGGTGGTTAATCTTTAGAATCATCTAGAAAACACACCCCGGGCCATAACTGTAAGGCCTTATCAGAGAGGTGTGATTGAGGTGGGAAGGTCCACTCTGAATACGGGCAGCACCATCCAGCGGTCTGGGGTCAGGGACAGAAAAGGCAAGCTGACTGCTGGCATCCACCTCTTACTGCTTCCTGACCATGAAGACGGTGTGACCAACTGCCTCAAGGTCCTGCCCACACTCACACCTGGACGAACCCAGTCTGGAAACTGATGTGTCCATAGTTTTGTTTCTATGGTGATTCTAGACTCTGTCGAGTTAGCAATATTCCCCCCATTCCCTGATACAGCGACGGAGGGGAAGGGAGAGCACCTTGGGCTCTAAGCCCTAGGGTCATCTCAGTCGTTGACCGGTAGATTTCATGAAGGAGACTCAACCCCACCTTGCTGCAAAAGGCCTCTCTAGTGGATATGACAGAGAAGGACATGGTCACAGCACCAGAACACGGGGAAAGGCGTCCAAACACCTGGTGAGCGCAAGGAGCTACAGGAACAGAGCAGGGTCAATTCTAGGAAAGACTACCAGCTAAGCATTGGAAGATCAATCCATTAACAGCAGTTATGTCAGCCATCAAGGGACAGCATCAGTACAGATGGATAAACGTGGGCCAGCAGGGATAAAAGACCCAAGCATGTCAGAAATCCCTGTACAATTAGAAGTGACCAAGATGGCACAGGTCTGTCATATAAACTACTCTGGAGGTTGGGGCCACTCAGTAGCAGAGTACTTGGCTAGAATCCCCCAGTGAGGGGCTGGGGTGTGGCTCAGTGGTAGAGCACCTGCCTTCAATTCTCTAGTGAGGGGCTGGGGGTGTGTCTCAGTGGTAGAGCATGCACCTAGAATCCCCCATCAAGGGGCTGGGGGTGTAACTCAGTGGTAGAGCACCTGCCTAGAATCCCCCAGTGAGGGGCTGGGGTGTGGCTCAGTGGTAGAGCACCTGCCTAGAATCCCCCAGTGAGGGGCTGGGATGTGGCTCAGCTGGACAATGACTGGCTAAAGGAGGTAAGAGGGAAGGAGACCTGAGCAGGGACAGCAGAGGTGGAGAAGGGGGACAGAACATATAATATGAAGATTGGGCTAAGATGTCTGGCAGGAACATGCTCCCATCCCTTCCACCTACCACCATATCCTAGAAATTTCAAAGCTAAAAATAAGTCCTGAGCCACATTAGAAAATGAGAAGCAGTGGGCTAGACGCTTTGAGGCTTCCAGGAGAGACAGAAAGCAGATGGGAATAATTTGGAGGAGGAGAGCACTCCGGAAATATGCAGCCAACGGGACCAGCACTAATGATGGGGGCAGTTTAGGAACAACACATGTGGCCAATGTGGATGGGAATCACCCCAGGTGACTGTCATTAGAGGGTAAGGCAGGGACCACAGTGTCAGGGTAAGGCAGGGACCACAGTGTCAGGGTAAGGCAGGGACCACAGTGTCAGGGTAAGGCAGGGACCACAGTGTCAGGGTAAGGCAGAGCCTTAGTAGAAGTGGTAGAAGAACCTTGCCTCTATCCCTCTGGTATCAAGAATCAGGCATCTAGCTGAGAGGGGTGGTACACACCTACAGTCAGTATTCAGGAGGCTGAGGCAGGAGGTTTGCAAGTCTGGAGCTATCTTGGGCTACACAGTGAGTTCAAGGCCAGCCTGAACTATCTAACTAGCACCTCAGACTCATCAACTGGTGACCTTCAGAAGTCAAGGTGTCCTTGGGCAGTGTTGGTGCACGCCTTTAATCCCAGCACTCAGGAGGCAGAAGCTCTGTGAGTTTGAGGCCAGCCTGGTCTACCAAGTGAGTTCCAGAACAGCCAGGATTACACAGAGAAACCCTGTCTTCAAAAAAACAAGAAAACAAACAAAAAAGTCAAGGTATCGATAAACAGAAGTAAACTCATAGAAATAAACAAATACCAAGACTTATATTATTTGAAGAGAAAAATAAGACAAAGGCACCAACTCAATAGTTAATACATCAAAAGATAAAACAACAAAGGAACCAACCAAATAAATATATTTTTTGGGGGGAGTTTGGTTAGTTGGTTTTGTTTTTGTTTTTGAGACAGGATCTCGTGTAGCCCAGGCTGGCCCCAGTCTCACGATAAGTCTAAGGATGACCTGTAGCATCTGATCCTCCTGCCTCTGCCTCTCAAGTGCTGCAATTACAAACTTACTCCACCATGTCCAGTTTGTGTGAGGCTGGGGATCAAACCCAGGGCTTTTTGGATGTTAAGCAAGTATTCTACCAACTGGGCCACATTCCCCAGCATGGAGAGAGCTTCTGAAAATGAAATTAATACCCTCAAAGAGATAAGTCGATATACTGCTTATAAAACTATGGTGTGAAAACGTTTGCTCTCTTAGAAATGAAGTGAGCCAGGCATGGTGGCACATATCTGGGTTGCAAGCACTGGGGAATGGGCAGGAGGATCAGAACTTCCAGGCAAGCCAGGGCTTGTTTCGGAGCACGGTCCTTTCCCAACAAAATGTAAAGATGGCCTAGAGGCTGAGCGTGCTTGATGCTTTTCCAGAGGGTCCTAGCTTGGTTCTAGCAGCCACATCAGGTAACTCACAACTATCTGCAACTCCAGCTCCAGGGAACTTGATGCCCTCTTCCTGTTGCCACCACATACATGGGACACACACAGAGATACACACAAGCAAAAATATATCCTTTAAAAAAATAACAAAACCGAAAACAAAACAAAACAACAAAAAAGAAATGCAAGACTTCAGGGTGAGCTTCAAAACACAAAAGAAGGAGGTAGGGATGCTCCAGTGAGCTGGGAGCCTGAACTGTGGGCTATCCCATGAGGTCTGCAAAACCATCAAAGAGGGGAACTGTGAGAGAAGAGGTAACAGGCCTGGTGGCTCAGGCCGCCCTAACCCCAGCACCTGGGAGATCACTGAATTCGAGGCCAGCCTGGTCTACAGAGAAAGTTCCAGAACAGCCTGGGCTACACAGAGAAACCCTGTCATGAAAAAGAAAGGAAGGAAGGAAGGGGAAGAGGAAGAGGAAAAGGAAAAGGGAAAAGGAAAAGGAAAAAGGAAAAGGAAAAAGGAAAAGGAAAACACAAAGAAACAAGGTTTGATGGCACATGCCTGTAATCTTAGCACTTGGGGAAGTAGAGGCAGGAGGATCAGGAGTTCAAAGTCATCCTCAGCTACATAGTGAGTTTGCATTCACCCCGGGCTACATGAGACCCTAACAGAAAGAAGCAGGCAGAGAGAGGGGAAGAGAAGGGATGAAATGGAAAATGAAAGAGGAGGAGAGGCAGAGACAGAGAATACAGTAAGAAAAATTCTCCAGAAGCCAGATGGCGCTGGTGCACACCTGTTTAATCTCAGCACTTGGGAGGCACAGGCAGGTGGATCTCCAAGTCTACAGAGTGAGTTCCAGGACAGCTAGGGTTACACAGAG